ATAATTATTTATCTTGGCATGCAGTAAATCAGAGCAGAAGTTGCAACTCAGGACCTCCTAGTTCATAGTTCTATTCTCCAAATAACAGAAATCCATGATGAAAACCAAATTCTCCTGTTTCCCCAGAAGATAAATTCCAAGGGCCTCTGTGGTGGTACAGAAAGTCCGTGAAATGTGGTTCATGTTATTTTTGTTAATATATATTATTCAACATAAAGGCAAAGCTGATGACTGTCACTGGAAAATAACACTGTTGTAATCTGGCATTTCGGAAAATAAGCACAGCGGACATGAGACTTATAAACACAGTTTTCCTGATAGTTACTATACAACAACAGGAGAAGATAAAGGGGAAGCAGGAGAGAGAAAAAAGCCTCATGGGCACGTAGGAAAAGTCAGCGAGATTAAATGGAGTCCATCACTGCCAGACCTATATCACTGAAGTACGAGTTTTCATCTAATGTAACACAGTGAAGTATTTCAGCTACAGGTTCTTTAAAAAATTATTTCCTCTTTTGCTACAACATTCCTTCTCTCTGTTGTTTCTGTAAGTCAAACCATGTTTATGGATCATTTATAATCAGCACATTATTATCATGTTCAACACAGAAATGAATGTTAACCAACAGTCAGTAGTGTCAAGGGCATCATATCTCAGAGGAAAAAAAAAAACACAAAATCAAATAATACAGCTGTCTTTCCCCGCACCCCAGTAGTCATTCAACATGTATAAGAAAGTCCTGAAAAATGATTGCACACTGTTCTTTACTAGGCTTATCTCACTAAGGCATCCCCTGGCAAATGAACAACAGCACATTCAGAAAAAAAATAACGCAGTGGTAAAGCATCACATCCATTTCCAGGCCAGGTAAACACAGACAAAGTTTTCTCAATAAGGCCAATGCTAAAGTTCTCAAACTTGGAGGCCACAGATCGACCCGACAGCATACTGGCTAACCACAACAAGGACATTTCTCTGACTTGTCAAGGCCACGTATTCCAGCCAACCTTACCCAACTTCACAGTCCTGTCTTTCATTGCACAGTAATTTGCAATAAACCCTCAGCCCAACTGCTTCACCTGCACCCACTGGATCCATCAACTGCAGTCCATCTACTGCATCTCTCCAACAGGTCATCACACAAATTAATTAACGCTATTACCCAGATTCTTGCCCTCATCATGGCTTGGGAAAGGGAGGCAAGCCCATGCAGCAGAAAGGCCAGCCCTCGGTGCCGAGACCTGTTCGATTTGTCTGTGCACCCTGGAGCCTCCTTGATTAGTCTTCAAGTTTGCTTCACCTCCATGACTACATGCCCCCCAAAGAACAGAAGATTTAATTTTTTAAAGGGACACTTTGCAGACCTCTTTTTCTCAAATACCTGTTACTGTATTTTAGAAGCTGGCTCAGAACTACCAAAAACTGGGAAAAAAGGGAAGCATGGAAATGGCTGCAAAATAAAGTATCTTGCTTAAATAAACTGTGTATGAAAAGTTTTTAGTAAACAAAACTATCTTCTAACTAACTACTTGGTACATATAAATTAAAAAAATCAATGTATTTTCAGAAACAGAGTTACCCATCCAGATATATGTGTACCTGTGAACAATGAAAAATGCAAAAATAAAACTGCCAGTAAGATGCCCACACATTTCTTTCTTTTGCAGCATTCTAACTTCACTAAATTTACAGTATTTTCTTTTCTACATAAGTGAGAGGTTACACTGCAATTTCATTGCGGTTAAGATCTAAAAATCTTTTCAGTCTTGGCCTAGATTCCATTTTAGTGTAAAGTTAAGCTAGCTTTAGAATAATACTCTCTATATATTAGTATTTTATATGTAATATATATAATATTATATATCTCAGTATTATCTATATTATATATAGTAGAATTTATTTTCAGAAATGTATTAGCTATTATTCTGAAGCTATTATTCTTCAGAATATTCAGATTTGCTAATGATCAAATTACAAGCACATTAAATGGATTTGTCTTTTTTGCTGCGTTCAGTTTTTTTATAAAGACATCATACAAAAGATATCAACTCCCACTGACTTTTGTATGACCAAAATGTAATCCATTTTGTAAGGAACCATAAAACAACAACTGCCCCAAAACTCTTTCAGTGTAGAAAACAGCTTCTGATATAGCGTACCTTGCATTCTGTGGAATTACTCAAAGGTGAGGCTTGTTGATGAGGACTTTGCAAAGATGGTCAATGCCACATCTTTTGTTACTGCACTCTTACTACAGAAACGCTAAGTGCCCGATTTAAAGCCTACTGAAATTAATAAAGAATTCCCATGTGTTACAGTTGTATTTGACGCAAATCCTACTTAGAGACGATTCACGTATCTTCTGTGTTAACAACTCTTTAGGTATGTCAGAGTGAAATCACCCCTACAGAACCACCACCTTCATTATATCATTGTTTGCCTATCAGCCTATTAAATTCTAGAAATCCACTAAAGCCAGCTTTCCCTTAAAAACCCTTTTACAGTGCAGTGAAACCATTTATTAGGCAGTGATCCACGATACAAAAAGCAGTGCAAGAAAGAGAAGAACCAGTATCTACGGTGTCTTAGCTTCAGTATTTGACTAACATTTCAACCTGTTTCAATACAAATAGATTTTTAAGAATATGCTGGAGATAAAAGAAAATCCAGTATTCCTCAAAAGAAGGATTATGGGCCATAGGAGTTACTTTCACCTATCTTTTGAAAGCAAAAAGTAAGATTGTTTGGATAGATCGTCAAGACGACTGAAGTGAATGGATTTCACAATAATGACTCGAGAAACCCTATCTTTCACAAAGAAGCAGGAAGCAATATATTATTACTGTAATTGCCAAAGGTAACATACTACAAGTACTGGGTTAAATTTTGTCCTTTTAGTAAGAAAAGTAGTGTAAGGGATTAATTTCTTAGCAGTAGAACCAAAGTGATCGTTCACTTAAGGAAACTCAAATCCTAGCTGAAAAAATAAGGTTTTTGTTCTGTTTTTCATAAGCCACTGAATGCAGTGGATGGCTGGATATTTACAGCCAGGTGTATTTTACAATGACTGACTGAGGTCCAAACAATTCATGTTGTGTAAGATCCAGCAACAGCAAAGAGGAAGGAGAATGAGGAAAACAGCAAGAAGATATTTTCACACACTGGCTACTTAGTTATGTAATTCTGAGATAGCTATTACAGATGCACACACTTAACTGAAAAAGACATTAACTTTCTTGAAGCAACATTTTCCTTGCAAATTTATCTTTAAAGTACAACATTATTTACTTTGTATTTTTATTCTAATTAGTCTTCATAGGAAATCAATAAGAGGAAGCAAAATTAATATTAGCTTTATTGGCCAAAGATAATTTTTTAGAGTTAACTTTAAATCCATAATGATAGGTCATTATAGCAAGGTTCAGTCAACTCTGCAGAGGAAAATTTTTTTTTTTTTTTTTTTTTACTTTTTTTCCCCCCCCCTATGAGGCTGACTAACATTTCATAAATACCACATCCACTCAATTTGAACATCTGCTTTACACAAAGTTAGAGCAATGACATTAATAACACAGGCTGGCTTTATCAAGGGCAAAGAACAGCAAGTGGTTCTATCCTTGAATCCAGGCATATCCCGTAACATGGTCTTTGTGCCTCGGCAAATACACTGTCTATTGACACGTGTTATATAGTAATCAATCATTTCAATTAAGTACTTTTTCCACCTTTTCTTCTCATATCTTGCAATAGCTTGTATGAATGAACAATCAGATGGTAAAACGGTAACACATTTAAAAAACAAAATTGAGAAGCAGCAGATTTTTTTCTACTTATAAGGAGCAGGCTACAACAGAGAAGGACTTAAGGCAGCTTTTCTATTTCATTGAATGAAGTAATAGCTTTATTTGTCATCTGGTCATTAGATCTTGCGTAAAATTAATCACTACAAAGAATCACAACAGCAAGTATTTTGGCATTAAATTTGAATCACTCTTCCCTTACAGAAGTATTGTGACTGAATGAAAGGACCACTCCTCTGGAAAAGCAGATAAATTACACCCACAAGATAGTTTTGTTTTTATAGTCTCTACAATGTTAGGCAACTTATGTGCCACTAGTATTTACCAGTTTCCAGATAAACAATCATAGAATTATAGGATAGTTTGGGTTGGAAGGGACCTTTAAAGGCCATCTAGTCCAACCCCCCCTGCAATAAGTAGGGACATCTTCAACTCGATCAGGTTGCTCAGAGCCACGTCCAGCCTGGCCTTGAACATTTCCAGGGATGAGGCATCGACCACCTCACTGGGCAACCTGTGCCACTGTTTCACCATCCTCACTGTAAAAAATGTCTTCCTTTTATCTCGTCTGAATCTATCCTCTTTTAGTTTAAAACCATTACCCTTGTCCTATTGCAACAAGCCCTACTAAAAAGTCTGTCCCCATCTTTCTTATAAGTCCCTTTTAAATATTGCAAGGCCTCCTCAGAGCCTTCTCTTCTCCAGGCTGAACAACCCCAACTCTCTCAAGCCTGTCCTCACAGAAGAGGTGCTCCAGCCCTCAGATCATTTTTGTGGGCTCCTCGGGACCTGCTCCAGCAGGTCCATGCCTTTTTTGTACTGAGGACTGCAGAGCTGGACGCAGTACTCCAGGTGGAAGTTCCAAATCATGGAAATACTGCATCACAGTGACTGACTGCAGTGATGATTGTTAATGAGTGCGCAACAAGAAGTTCTGTGGAATTTCTGTACTGATTTTGTGGTATATTAAGCAACATTTTAATTCTCAGCCACATGGTGTCTGCTCTGCTTCCATTAAAGAAATGTTAGGACTCCTCTATTTCAGTGACAGCAGGGTCAAGTCAAACTTTTTGCATGCTTTCACGACAAACTCTACTATCCATTCCAAGTGTACTCAAAATTATCTCCAAAACTACAAACCCTCAATTTTTGGTGTTAAAAACAATGGGACCTAGTTAGAGAAAGTACGATCCACTTGCCTTTCTTAAATTTATGTACAGGAAGTTTCTTAAGCTGATCCTTCCTAAGTCGGTTCCTTCTTGCTCTGTGTCTGTCTTGCACAAATTTTGTGATCTGGAAACAGACATAAGACAACATGAACAGTAAGTTAAAACAATAAAAGAACAATAAAAGCTTTGATTTATGAGTCTTTGCAAAAGAGCTCAAACTGAATCACCTCTTCCCCTTGCCTGGACTCAAGGATGAAGCCAAAGAAGCCTAAAGGATGTTCTTGATGACCAGTTCTTGAAACTGAAAATATACAAGCTTTTTTTGGAAAGGAAAGAGGCGGAAAAAAAAAATCATGTCCATACTACATAAAATAATGGCCATTGCTGCCATCCCCTACCAAGGCCCATGTATAGTGGGATGGCACATTTCAGAGCAAAACACAATTCATTAAGTTTGACTGGTTTTGCTTACAGTTATAGATTATTACAGCTCTTTTAGAAGATTGTTCTCATGTTCTTCAGAACTGTTTTCATAGTATCTAGATGCAGTTTGGGGAGGAGTAAAGGGGTATAGTTACCTGCTGTCTTCAACTATGTTAAAGATTCTGTTTCCACTTTCTTAATAGTCCCTAATGCTATTTCTGTTCAGTTTCTAATTCTAGCATCGGTGATATGACATTTTCTCAAATATGACAAACAAAAAAATGGCCTTAACCAAAGTATACACACTAACAAAGTCTTTCGAAATTGCAGAGGTGCTCTACACCTCTCTATGCTGTGGATAAGGTAAATGCCAAGACAGTATTAATATTATAAACAGCATTAATCTCTTTCATTTTAGGAATCCCTGGAAGGCACCAATATACTTCACAACAGATTTTATTTTTTTTTTTAAGTATGACTGTATGTACATTATGAACAAATACTATTAGGACCATTTGAAACTGTAACTGGTTTGGGCAAAATAAAATTTAATTATCCTTCTGCATCACACCTGGTTTCACTTTTTAAGCATAGTCCGATCTAAACTGTTCATTCAGACTCTTTTTATCCCAGCTAAACAATGGGCTGCATGCATAAACTGCAGTTTTTCTGCTCTAATTCAGATACTTAGTAACAATCAGAGAGTCTCACATCCATTTCGTAGTTAAAAACAAGATTTCCTGAAAGAAGCAGGGCTGAAACCACAAATGAATGAGGACCAAATGCAACCTGGAACCTCCCTGGGATCAAGTTCACCGCACCAATTAATTCTCCGGTGCTTTAACCGATCAAGATCTCTCTGTTAAGGCCTCTCTACACTCAAGGGAATGAACAACTCCTCATTTACTGTCATTGGCAAACTTACTTAGCGTACACTCAACTCCTGTGTCCAGGTCACCAATAGAAACATTGACAAGAACTGGCCATGAAGCTGAACCCTGATGAACACCACTAATGCCTGGCTGCCAGCTAGATGCTACCACATTTACTACAACTCTTTGAGCCTAGTCCTTCAGCCACCTGTTCAGCCATCGTACTGTGTATCTGTCTAGCTTTATGGTGGACGTTTTGTCCAGAAGGATACTGTAAAAGACAGTATCAAAAGCTTTGCTAAAAAAAACCTCCAAAACCAAACAACCCCAAAGAAGCACAACCCCACACATCCACCGCCCACTAGGTGAGTAACATTGCTACAAAAGGATATTAAGTTAGTAAGGACTGACTTTCCCTTCATGAACCCATGTTAGCTTTGACCAATGACCGTATTGTCTTTCAAGTGTTTTCCAATAACTCCCAGAATAATTTTCTCCATAATTTTACCAGGCAATGAAATGAGACTGACATGCCTATAATTACCTGTGTCTGCCGTTTTCATTTTCTTGAAAACAGGGCAAACAATGTTTCCTAGGCTGTAGTCAACCAGGACCTCTCCAATTTCCCAAGATTGCTGACAAATAACTGAGAGAGGTCTCACAATAACATCAGCCAACTCTTCCAGTACCCAGTGTACCAGTACATTGTGGAGCAGAGTGAAAGCCCTCACCAGCACACCATCCTTCAAACATTGTCGTGCTGCTCCATAGCTTATCACTAGTCAGCCTGCTGTTACCCTGTTCCCTCTTCAAACCTGTACTACACTCTGGAAAACACTTTCAAATACTTCTCCCCTTTTTTTCTCTCTCTGTTTAACATGAGCTGCGTAGATGGATTTTGGCATTTCCAACATCACACAACCTCTTTTCAAAACCCTCCAAACATCTGTCCCAAGTACATAGTAGAGGCAACCCTGACTTGCAGACATATAAGATAATTTTCTCCTGGTTCCTGTCTGGTTTTCCTCTACAACATGATTCTAAGACATTGAAAGAACCATTCATTTTAGTACTGACTACCTACTGACACTAAAAGAAGAGAAATTCAGGTCTCTCAAAGCTGTTGCTTTTACAACTGGGACATATTTGGAAGAATACATTCTTAATCATAGTTTACAGAACTGCCTTTTTTTACATTTCCTCACAGTGCATAAGCAAGGAAATTGGAGATGAGTTTAAATGCCTGAAATTTTCCTCTCCAATGTTTACTTCCCCTTCTTATAGCTAATCCTACCTAGCATCAGTTTGGTCCTTTTGGATTTTACAGATGATTCTTCCCTAAATATTTTATTTGGAAGGTGCAACTCTCAAATTCACACATTAGGTAAAAAAATTTTTTTATTCAGAGTATCAGCATGCTGATACAAAAAGATCCACCTCTTAAAAGGTAACTTTAAAAGAATCAGTATCTATGAAAGATGGCATATTTAGATGGGATATAATGAAGAAAGTTTTTATGATGCAGGTGGTGAGACACTGGAACAGGTTGCCCAGTGAAGTTGTGGATGCCTTATCACTGGAAGTGTTCAAGGTCAGGTTGTACGGGCTTTCAGCAACTTGATCTACTGAAAGATGTCCCTGCTGATGGCGGCAGGGGTGCACAAGATGATTTTTAAAGGCCCCTTCTGATCCAAACCATTCTGTGATTCTATGGCTTCTGCTTCGAGGACTCACTTATACCCTAAAGACAAACACTTTACAAATTTGTTTCGCTCACTCCTATAACATTTGTAATGCCACTTCTGATGCAGGTATCTGCTGGTTTCATAGTGAGGGAAACACCTGCAATTCTAAGGAGAGGGGGCTTTTCAGTGGGGTTAGCCTTGTGTTTCTTACGTAACTTTAGTTCCTTGCTAAAGTGATTGGTGGAAATTAGTGTCATTTAGTTCATTTCTTGACCTGAAAATGACAGCACTGAAGTCCATAAGGAATTTCTGCAACTAGCTTAACATCATCTAAAAACTCAAGCAGCTTAACTGGTGAAAAACTCTGAAGCAAAATATGAAGCAATATCTTGAGAGTAAAAACCATCTCTTATTTCTGAATTTCCACGGTGGTGGTCATGATAAAAGTCAAGCTCACACTCCTCATGATTACAGTTTTCATATGTGCCCCTGCTTCATTAGTTATCTCTTCAATGGTAGCCTTCTAAATCGCTCTTTAAATAAGAAACACCCTAACTATTCTTATTGTCTTTCTCTTCATGCCCTAGTTAGTATCTTTCTGAAAAATTACAAATCAGTGCTTCACACCATATTTTGACAGAGTGCAAAGCCAGTACTTATGATTTTCAAAATGATACTACAGTTCCTTTCATGGCCTTCTTCATTCCATTTCTTAGATACCATACTTTGTTTGAATTTTCAACTTAGGTACACTATAAGCAGATTATTAGTGAAGCTCAAGTTGGAATACTGATGGTCTCAGAACAACAGATCCTCACAAAATACTATTCCTGGTGACTGCTCTCCTTTAGAAATACCATCTCTCCTTACCTCAAACTGCTGACCTTCAGGATACAATGATAAGGCTATATGTTCACCTAATTCACTGCGACAAAATCCTCTATTATCAAGGTTATCACCAGAAGGTCAGAGAAAGCACTGGCGAATTTTATATCATCTCCAGTGGTTCGCTTCTGCTTTGTTTTCAGAGAGATGCTGCAATTTCGATTGTGCCAAATGTGCCCAGGATGTCAATGAAATACATAACTTGCAATGCCAAACGCTAACACAGAAAGAAATATTTTGAGACAATTCATACAACAGTTGATGCATTACTTGACTTTTATCAAAAGGTAAAATAATAAATTGGTCAGAGACCAGCAGAGATTCCAAAAATGTGTGATCCTAAGCATTAAAAAATAATACATAGCGATGCTATTTTACCTTTTATAGGAGACGTGCTCAAATGAGAACCTCTATAGGTAATGTATATGCTGTAAGTTATATCCTATGTGCTGTAACAGGTTCTGAGCTTGCTGACTGATTACTATACGTGCAGTAAAAAACGGCGAGACCTGCACTGTGGAACATTGGGACTAACATTTATTAAGCAGTACAAGTTCGGTACAGTGGGACATACTGTCAGTGTACAAAAGCACAAGGACAGGTCATTCTTTATTGGGCGAAAAAGAAAGTGCTTGTGCAGTGGAAGGGTAGCAGTGAGGACAATTCCTTGTATGCGGTTATTTGCCAGGTAGAACATCCTAAGGGCTTCTGATATCCCTTTACCAAAATTCTGCACCTGTTTATTGTACTGAGAAAATAAAGGATTATAGGTAAGCATGGAACAGGTATGTACAGTACACAAAGCTTTCGCTGTTCCTTTACTGTATCCCTTAATTTAAATTCAGTAAGTGACAGTTCTATGATGACTTGTTTGAAAGAAAAAATGTTATTAAAAGAAGGAACTTACCATAAATATGACGATGAGAATAAGACAGATCCCTACAATTATTAGGAAAGGGATTAAGTAGTACTCCAAAGGAAGACTGAACTCTGGGATTAACACAACATGGCCACTGTGGGGGAGAAAAAGATAACACTTTCTAAATAGGTTAGAATTTAATGAACAATGAAATAAAGAATAAATGCAATTTAAAAAAAAAAAAACATTAAAAGAGTATCGCTGAACACACTAAAGGAACCTGTGCACAACAACACAGAAAATTCAGTTGATATTCACATAACGTAAAGTCAATTAAATAGAACGATAAAACAATGTTTCTTAGAACATTTCTGGAGTTCAAACTACTCACTGACTTCAATCATAAATAAATCTAAAGCAATGAGGAAAACAACCTCATAGTTGCTTTGACAGGAGAACGAACAACATATAACATGACTATCAAAAGACACAGTGAAATCATTCTTACTACAGCATTTTGGGTTATATGAAAGGTTTAGGTTCAAATCATGAAACATGGTGAAGTGCACACTTTGTCCTCTGGAGAGTCAATAAATTACAGTACACAAAGCAAAAGTCTTTCTAGAGAACCTGATATGGATGCTGGCAACCAGATATCTGAATACTAGTATTTATTGATACTTAAGGAAGTAAAATCCCATTATTATTATTATTCTGTTGGCACAAGCAGTCAGAAACACCTCAGAAGGGACAATGTATAAAAGTGTTAGTAGTTCTATAATGACTACTCAATACGGAGCCACACTTTACTTATCAAGTCATTTCATCAGCAAGTTGTCTACTTAAGAATGAAACAATCTAGTTGTTCTGATTAATTTAGTAAAAAGACAGAGAGATCTGAAGAAGCAAGAACATCAGACTAATAATAGGAAACACATCTCTTTCCATCCTATTCAAGGTATATATTTTAACCATCTTGTTCTCGCAATGCTTTTCTTGTTAACATTTTAAACTCAAAAGCAGAACAGAAGCAGTTGAAACCTGATCATGCTACCCATTAGAATCATCTTAAATGCATCCTGCAGATTCACCTAGCATAGGAAGTCATCTCTGACTTTTCCTAGAACTATTAATAAAGGATGAGTATTTTTTAGGGTGTTTGGGGGTTTTTTGTTTGTTTTTTTTGGTGGTGGTGGGTTTTTTTGTTAAGTCCAGCATCTGACTTCAGTGGGAACCAACATATGTTGTGAAAAGAACACACCCTTAGATATGAAATACACATACTCTCAAAAATATTTCTGTGATACCTAGATCATTAGCTAAACTCGTATGTTTAATGCTATATGAAAATGAAAGGAGTAACATTTGATAAATATATGGTAACCCTCTTGCAGAAAAGCAATTTATATTAATTTTTAAAATGCCTTCTGTCCATTGCTCTCAGGCACAAGGTTTCACCTGGAATACCTATAGCCTCTGTCATCACAACATCCTATTTTAAATCCATAAACATGAAAAAGAGGCAACGACTTAATGCAAAGAGTAACAGCTGCATGTGAAGTAACCTACCCCTTTTCATAAGTAAATTCTTCTTTAAGAGAATTAGCTGATGTCTCGCCAATAAAGACAGAAGGAATGTCAATCTTCTTTAAAATCTCAACTATATGAAAAAAAAGGCAAGAAAATAAAAATATTATTATGCAGACACTCTATGGGCACTCTTAAGACATAAGACTTGAACATTATGAGACTATCACAACATGAAGACATATTTTAAGCTAATAAAATACAGAATGATGTACACACATCCTATATCTTTACATCATAAGAGAAGTGTATTATTTTTCCTACCAAATTTCTAGGGACTTTACTGCAAGTACAAAAATCAAAATTCTTAATGGAATATTTAAAGGGAGCATAAATCCAAAATACTTTACAATATTGACAAAAAACCAGACATCATCACAGTAAGTTTAATCAGAACATCATTCTTACTCAGAGACTTGATAAAGTCCCACAGCTCCACTGATTTCCAGAATTTCTAGTGATTTTTGTGATTTGGTACTGTAAATTTTAATTAGTTTTTCTTCTCTCCTTTTCACTCTAAACATAAATGAACACACTGAAAACAGCTGTGGCTAGAAAAGTGCAAAAAGAAGAAAGAAGAGAACGAACAAATCCCACATCTTTATTTCAGTCTGAAGAAACTGGGTGGATCTGTCTCCCCCTTCTCTGCTTACTAGTGAAGGCAGTAGTAAGCTCAAAAGATGCAGCACAAATGAAAAACTATTGAAAGATAAATCCCATATTCTAGAAAACCTTCTCCTCAGCTTCACTTTATATTGAGTTGCACCTCTGACTTATGCTTCACGTTCAAGGGTCAAAGTATCTTGACTTTAGTCAAAATCAGGACAGTTAGGTTTCCCAAGGCAAAAGCGTACATGGCTTCATGTCACCTCACACTACCCAAGTCTGCATTTGTTGTGAACTTGTTCTACATTTTGATTTCTCAGCGAAACCTGAAAATAAGATTCACACGGGTCGGCAATTCATTAAAACCACTTTCACGTAGCCTTCTGGGCCACCCAGCTGCCATTTAGTTTGCTGAAAGTTCATTTCCTAGTTTACTCAACGGTGTTCCCACTTGGAAAGACTTTTTTGTTCTCATTTATGTTCTCGTTCCATATTGAGCAAGCTCAAAAACTGGATAAAATAAAGAAATGCCACAAAGAGTCATAACAGCACTACAGAAAAAACACACACCATAAAACAAAACCAACATTTTGCTAGATTACAAGATGTTCTGAACATATTCACTCCATCAAAGGTTAAAATCGCAACAGCTACCATCAGAATCAATCAGAAAATGGTGCACTGGTCTCTAAACATTCTTTTTCCAACTGAAAACCTGAAAATATGTACATGTATTCATATAAAATTAGAATCCATTTGTCCAAAGGAATAGAAAAAGGTACACAACAGTGCAACAACAAAATGGAACCACTAACAAATCCTAAAAACTTCTATTTCAAACTTTGATTTCCTTCCAAAAGAGCAGAGTTTTTTTACTTTTCCTATAATTCTACTTAATCAGCAACACATCAGCTATTTTCCACATCAGTCATATAAATCTATCTTATAAATTTAACCATTTAACCCAGAACAGCTGAACTAAAATTTAAAGGAAAAACAAAAGAAATACTCAGGAGAATGTAAAAATTTAATATCACAAATAACATACAAGTATACATATGTGTTCTTATATGAATATCTCTCATTTTAAAATGTTAAAAGGAGGAGGATTTCTGGTTGGGGTGTTGTTTTTTTTTTCTGGTGGTGGTGGTTTTGTTCTTTCGTTTTTTTTGTTTGTTTGTTGTAAGTCAGAGTTCATCATAATACTTTATACTGATTTTACTACTGTAGACTCTAGTGGGTGAAATGATTTTCAAACAGGAGAGAAGAAGTGATACCTGTACTTACTGTCGTTGGATCCCATGCTTATGAGGTCATCAGAATCAACATTGTGAACTATAGCCGCCTTGTACCCAGCTCTCTGTGCATTTAAAACCTGTAAACCATACAAATACTTATTAGAAAGACTACTGCTTCAAAATACAGTAACCTGTCTGTTCTCTGTAAGACAAGGTACACTTTCACGAAGTCCCAAATACTAGCACAACATCATTTACACTTATAAAACAACTGTCACCTTTCAAAATAAAATCCTATAATTATTCTTACACTCATGGGATTACGTTATTTTTCCAGAAAAATCATTTAATATTGGCTACAGACAGACAGTTTTTACATATATTAAAAACAGGATTAAAAACTTTCTATGGGTAGATAAAAATAGTATTTAATCATAACTGAAAATAAAAGCACTAATTTACTTTGGTAAACCAGAAATTACCACTTGATAGCTCATGAAGTCACATGAGTGGCATCTTTTCTGTGCCTTTAGAAATGTGGAAATATCTTACTTGACAGCCCAGGTATCAGAAGCTTTCTCATGGAAAAGTACAAAATTATAAATATGGATACAAAACTATAAACACATTGTGTACCAGTTACATTTCTAATATATATTGGCTTTTTTGTCAATACAAGCAAAACCTAAGGTCCCTCTAAATGGCATTTGCTGCAGTGACTATCACTAATGTAAACATAAGTCACAACTATTCATCTTAGATATTGCTTCTAAGGCATCCACAACAGTATAAAAACTCATCATAAGATGCAAAAAGCACTACAGAACCTTGAGGAACATTTGGGTTTCATCCTGTATTCAACTCCTGTTTAAAACTACATAATAAGCTTGGCTATAGCAAGATAGGCTTGCTCTGAATTGAGCTAGTATGGGACATGGTGGTAGGCTTTTATTTCCACTTAGATGCATGTATTTATTTAAGGAGACTGTAATGCAAATACATATTTATGTAATGGGCAAACAAACAACCATTAAGCACATCAGAACAAAAGGTCACAGCTTTTAATACCTCTGAAACTGGAAAATAGTTGCAGCATTCGGATATTATGGCATCAGAACAGCTTTATTGATCAGTCAACAAATACCAAGCACAGTACCACCCTTACGAACAAACATACACACAAACAAATCTTATAGAACCCTGTCCTACACCAATTCACCAAGAAATCACCACCATCTCTCTTTTGCAGCAGACTATCATCACCAGATCTGAAAAACCAGGGGAAAATTCTGGTGCTTTTTTTCAAGACCTCTACCCTCAAAGTTAGGAGAGAGGAAAATATATATATAAATATATATTC